TGTCAGAGCGATGGAAACTGACATTATCACAAATTACTACATACTTTGGTACATCATCTTGATTGAGGTCCCTCTCCTCTTCAGGAATGACATTTCTATAGAGATTGTCTAAGAATGTAAGGAGATGCTGTGTGTTGTACGGTCCCATAATAGGAATATGAGCTAGCACACCTTGGTCTGACATAGCAGCACACATAGTGATGTTTCCTCCCCGTTGGCCTGGGACATCAACAGTAGCTCTCTGGCCGATTAGATTTCTACCACGCCTTCTGCCTTTGGCCAGGTTGAAGCCAGCCTCATCCAAGTATATGAAGTTGTGAGGTGGTTCTCTTCGTTAACGAAGGTGAAGACTCACCTGAGAGCAATTTCTCAGTTCTGGACATATTTCTTAGCAAACATCTACTCACACTTTGTAGAAATCTGTACAGACATACAATTCTGAGAACATGTTCACTCATTTTGATAGTACAGACTTCCAACCTGAAAAAAAGACTAATTGGTTTGGTGGTTGTGACATTTCAGCTGAGAACCAGGACAAGTTATTTTGCACAGCTGGACAAAAGCAACAAGAATTGTCAAAAACAGCTGACAGATGTACAGAACCATTTGCATGTTGTCCAAAAGCAATTGCAATTTGATGAAAACAACAAGAAATTGCTGATATGATGAACAACTGACAACAGAATCTGACGGTTGAACGAGTAGTTCTGAGAAATGCAGTTCTGTTGTGAGAAATGAATGAAAGCAATAGAGAAAAACTGTAATAGGACCAAAGGCAAAATAAACTAGAACATTTCTTTAAAAACAAATGATGTAGGCTTTATTTTGCTGACCATTTTCCAAAGGATACCCTAACATCCGACTTGTTTTCCTTTGAGGTAGCCATTGGTTTCAGATCATTTCCGTACAGTAAGAAAATCAATCTGCAGAGAATAAGACCAGGCTGCTCATGTAAGCCCTTAGATTGAACATTAAGTGTTTTTCTTTGTTATGCTTAAGTAACTCTGGTCTCCAGGAATAAAGATTTAGCTTCTTGCACCAAAGAGTCGCTGCTTGGTTGATTCTTAAATGTTAGTTTAACTGAACGCACCAACAAGGACATTTTCAAAACAAAGCTGGACGCTGTCTGAAATATTTCAAAGTGCCAATAATATTTTTTAGTACTAATGCAAAGTAATCCCCCCCCCCCTTTTTTTAAATTTAAGGGCAATATATTATTTTAAATCAGAAATGATCTTATCAAAGAAAAAGTGAGAGTGCTAATGAGGCAAAGCATTTAGTATTGGTCATTTCTCAATATTTGTTGCTACACATCTGGAGTATTAAAGTTTGATAACAATGATATAAGTCAGCTTGTTAGTAGTGTACTAAAATGATGTGAAACCAGTGACTGCATGAAAGATGGGACTCTGTCACAACAGCATTCAAAACTAACGTTTGAGACAAATCAATCCATTTCAACTGAATCGCTGCTTCTGTATCTGTGGCATAAGGCAGGAAACAGTCTCCACAATGCAGAGTTTCAAGGCAACCAAGACCTATTGGCTGCGCCATCACATCTGTTTTTATATAACCCTGCTCCACTGGAGTCTAAGCTGTTCTACAACAGAAATGAATACAAGTGTGTATACAGTTGTGAGACAGGAGAAGCTGGGACAAATATCTTTTCTGAATACTATATGAACAGTATACTACAATATCTGCCTGTTAGCAACTGAGCCATCTAGCATGTTTTGACAACTTGGAGCGCTTTTGTGACTGGGTAGCACACTAGCATATCCAGCTCACCAGCTATGTTGTCTGCTGGCTAGCCATATGATTAGTCACTACATTAACAAGCTAAGCACCTGGGTGAACTCCACCATACATGTGACATCCTGATTTAGGTGCTGCCTCTTTATGGTGTGACTAGACTTTAATAGTATACATAATTAGTAGATTTAGTAGGGTAAAACCATACCCCCTCAGTATACATGAAGTTAAGCACTGATCATTAAACAATAATTTATACTGAAATAGTAATTAGTCAACTGTAAACAGAGATGACATGTTACTAAGGGAAATATTACAACTGCCACACTTGGTAATCAAACAGTTTTAAGACACAAAGAAGCAAAGTATCCCAGAATAACTGCAAAAAGACAAAATGTTGGACAAAAAGCTTTCGACCAAATAAAGTTAAAGCACACAGGCACAGAAACATGACAACATGGCAAGCTGTCAGTCCACTTCTCATCCTTATGGAGGGGATAGTTGTGTCTGTCTGTTCCACAAAGTAAGAAAGTCACGTGGACGGTCAGAGAGGCCTTGACGGAGTCTTTCATCCTCCATGTTCATAACAGATGCTCTCAACTGTGAATGGATCGATAGCATTTGAAATATTTGTCGTAGTGACCTTAGTAACTCCGTCCTTTAGTAGCAGACTGGCAGTGAAGCGCGCTGATGAACCTGTGATTGGTTGCGCTGACCAGTGAAACGACAGACAGACATAATGGAGTCTTTGCCTGCCGGAGAAGGGAAGAATCTGAACATTTAACTTTAGCAGCTTTAAATCAGCCCAATGGAAGATTGTGTTGCTTTATAAAACCTGCTGTAGTCAAACAGCCTTCTGTGGGTGCAAAAAGTCACTGTTATACCATGGTGTTGCTCTCGCCCGCTTTGTCCGCATACTGAAAGGAAAGAAAGAGACCATGTCAAGTGTCATCTGGAGGTATTTCAGTACCCCTCCTGTATAACTCATGATCTAATACAGAGACCTGGGAACTTTCAATGAGATGCTAAGTGTTAATTTGTGAATTTAACTGATTCCTGGACTGCAAAGTTTGGCCACTAGCCTGCAGCCTTTCTACTGAAAAGCATGCGTGACTTAAAGAGACACACCACAGGTGAACAGGACTTTTTTTTTCTGTAAATTTTTCTTTTGTTATTATCACTTGGAAGTTGAACTGAGTGTCAGTGTAGTTTTTGATAAAGTCATGACATTTCAGGTCTAGTAACATTAGCATTTATCAGAGAAACTTCACACTGAACCCAGTTCATTTCAGTGAAAAGCAGCAATCAGTGAATTTGCTGGCAGAGAAAAGATGCACATTGCTCTGTAACAGAGCCCAACTTGGTGACTACTGACAGTTTCAGAGAGTTGGGAACTGGAGATTCTTGAGGGACTGCTACTGGGAAAGACTGACATAGCTTTAAACAAGACCTTCATATGGAACAAGCAGGCAACGCTGTTCCCACTGGTCACACAACCTTCACTTGGCGGTTGTAGTGGACCCCTAAGAGCCTCCCAGTCCAAAACACAAGAAGCTTTTGCTTTATTCAAACAGGTAAATCAAGATCTGACCAAGGCATCACCCACTTTATACACGTTTACTAGTAAACTAGCAAGGTGTTGTGACAAGTTATTGCCAGTATGTTACCAGTGAGCTAACATGTTACCAGTTAGTTTGCCAGCTACCCTAGACCACCCCCGCTAGCACGTATACATCAAGAAGCTTCCACATACTGTACCTATAAAAAGTATTCACCCCCTTGGATGTTTTAACCATTTATTGATTATCATGGTCAATATAATTTGGCCTTTTTGAAAAAAGAAATGATAAAAACCCTTTTTAATGTCAAAGTGAAAACAGGTTTCTACAAAGTAATGTCAATTCAATTAAACTATGTAATGGGAAATACGTGACTGCATAAATATTCACCCCCTTTAAAATGACTTGACCTAATTCAACAGTGAAGATGTTTTTTTTGCTGTGCACTGTTTGTGCACAAATTTGTAGAAAGAGGTTCAAAAAAGGCTGAATAGATGTTAACTTGGACTTCACAGTTGCCTTTGAATATTTTTTATCTTATAAAATAGAAGAAAAATATTGTTAATAATAATGTCTTAAGGTTGACCAATTCATAAATCACCATATTATCTGTGGTGGTGCCTTTAAAGTCAATTAAATTAAGATCAACATTTTAAAATAAAAACATGGATTACCAGCTCCCTAAGCAAAAATGTATCCTTTCCCCTTGGTCAAGAGACACTAAGCTTCTGATTGTAAAGCGTGATAAATATGTTAGCATGCAAGGGAAAATCGGCAGTGACTGACCACAACTGCTGATTGTCCTCAGAGCCTTACGAAGGCTTTAATAAACAAACAAACAAACAAACAAACAAAAAACAGGCATAGAAACATTCATCTCAAAACAAAGCTTCCCACAGAACAGCATGGTAGGAGCACGTTGAACATCTAACTATATATCTGCCATTTTCTAGATTTAACAGTGACAGTCCCCACTGGACTACTCATACATCTTTAAAACTGAAGACAAAGCACAGATGACCATGACATCATTTCCAAATGTAGCATTTTGCTGTTGAAATACTACAACTTTTGTGTTTATTGAATTCACCTGATTAATGACCATGTTTACAGGCAGTCAGCTAACTATATTATAAATCCAATGTGTAGGACCTAGTTACCCTGGTGTGGTTGTGGAGAGGATGATTAATGAACAAGAAGAGAGCCATGCTGCATGTAAACATAGCAGAGCTGCAGAGTTGCTGAAGCTCGACATCATACTTACTGCACTGATGAACGGGAGGTTTAGGATGGAGCCAAGAACGGGTATTCTTCTGATAAAGCCTACTACAACTGGGAAGAAACCCCTGGATGTGTTGAAAGTGACAGAGTGAGGGAGGGGGAGAAAAACAGACACAGAGAGAGACACACACCTGAGTCTTGGTCATTCACAATACAGTAACTGCACAGAACACATGAAGTCAGTTAACGATGCCAAATGATAACTAAACCTGTAACACAAATTATTTATTTTTTGGTCCTGGGTGTTCTGTCCTAAGCCGTGTTTGTGGCCACTAAAGGGTGAACTGTTCGTTATCAGTTTGGTCTCAGTTTGGGTTCTGGATCATCCTGAGAAAGGCAAGGTCCACGAGGGAAGGTCCTTTGAAGGACCTCAACACTTGAGTAAGCCTAGATCTTTTTCCCAGATGTGGTGGTCTAGTCTAACATAGAACAGAACCAGAACTGAAGTGAGTGTTTATTTTGAACAGGTAATAAATTAGATGAGGTATCACATCAAATAATGTGCTGCTCTATTGTTTTCAATGTAATAGAGGACACAGATAACTTACACATCACTATTTTCAGTTTTAATTTTGATTTTACATACTGTCTGAACTTTTTCTGATGTGGGGTTGTACATTGAGAATATATGTGGTCAAGTGACAACCTCTGAGGCTGAGAAACGAAGTTACTGTTGAAGTGTTAAAACCTGCAGTTCCTCAAATGGCCACAACGGTCAAGCCAAGTAACACTCATTCTGGGTTCTGCATTTGCTTCCACTCCACTCCACACACTTGGAGGTGCATTCCAGGAGCTACATTTCATCACCCCTCAGGAGGCAGTACTAAAGTCAAGTTCCAGGAACTCAAGGGGGAGGGGGTGGGTGCTGCAGAGCTGTCATTCATTGTTGGTTAAATGTTTGCATTTTCACACCTCAATTAATCGCATTATAAGCATGGTGTATAAACACACTCACTATTTTCGAGGTGAAACAAGGACTGCAGTTATTGGTTTAGGAGTAAAACGGGGAGAGTGGACCACAAGCAAAGCAACGAAGATGTCACATATCTACAAGTTTGTGTTCTGTTTGTTCAACAGCAGTTTGATAAACCTCTCATACAGTCTCTGTTACTGGCTGATTGTTACACTATGAAGTGATACATCAGCTTTGTCTGTAGTAAGTGTGTGAGAGGTGTGCAGCCCACCCCCCCAAAACAGAGAATGACAGTAAAAACATACAGTGGAAAAGCAAAGCAGAATGGTCCGCATCAACCCATGGGGTTATGCAGGGTGATGGTTAAGAGAAACATGGGGTGTAACACTCTTTAGGTTCCGAAAATGGAAATGCAGACTTTGTTTCTGTAAGTGTGTCTGTATGTGTAGTCTGCTGGGTTTGTTTCTCTGCTTGTGGCTCGTTTGTTTCCTCTCACCTGAACAATAGAAAGAAGCCGTAGATCTCCAGCACAACTCCAATGATGGGCCAGCCAATCAGCACCACAAGCACACCTCCCAGGAAGAAACCGGTGGCTTTCATCTTGTGCTTCTGGAAGAAGAAGCGGAAAGTTCTCTCCAGCCCAATGACAAAGGCCAGTCCAGCAACAAACAGGATCTACAGCAAAAAAAGAAGGGTGATACAATATTAGACAGTGGCCCAATACAGATCCTTTGCAACTGTAGGAACGTAGACACTTTTCACTAGTCTTCTTTCTCCTTCTTTCCACCTGTAGAGCATCCAATGACACCACAAGAAATAACTGGCTGGCAGTATTAGGCTATGTTAAGGGAATGTGTTTTTTTACACATACACACTGAGCACTTTAATAGGTACATCTGTACAATTGTATGCAATTCAATGCAACACATCTGCCTTTAACAGCTGTGTTTATAAAACTCAAAATGTGAATTTTTGGTGAAATTGTCATAAATGTATAAATTCCATTATATGATTATTATTGAGCTCATAGTTAAAGGTGGTGTTCCTAATATTCTGACCAACTCATGTATGTAGCTGGGGAGGACAAAAATATAGAGACACCACTGAATAAAATCATTAATTATATAATGTCAACTAACTAGCTTCCTTAGCTAAGGTAACTTAGATAATTCAGTATGTGTTAGCTACATTAGCAATCAAACTATAGCATTCTGCTATCTCTACTGTTACCACTCACAAGAAGTATTCCCAAAGAAAGTTATAGCCTACTTCAGGTATTCTTTGGCTAGCCTTATCAGTAGCTGTAAATACCATCCTGAGTTGATGGTATGGAAAAATATCCAATCAGTTGTTTGATTAGTTTGGGGATGATCCAATCACATAAATGTTTGTCCAATGACCGACTGTTGATTGACAGGTCATTCC